CCAGCAAAAGAATTCTGCATCTGAATTTCCGTTGGAAAAATCTCTTCGAGAAAGAAATCGAAGAAAGAACAAAAGTCGTTGCGGAAATCGAGAAAAACAGGCGAAATGTAGAATAAATGACAGGCAATACCCTCACCGAGTTGGTTTTTTAAAATGTGCAATGATAATCGGCAAATCCCTGAAAATTGTGGGGAGATTTGCAGTAAAAACAAAAGAGAATTGAGAAGAAATATTGAGAAAAAGTTTAAATACGATATTGGAATTATTTAATTGAAATGTATCTTGATAATGATTATTTATTGTTATATAAATAGCATATTTTCTACAATAACTTTTAATTACACAGGGGTAAAGGATAATAAAAAAGGAAGCATTAGTAAGAAAGCAGTTATAATATATTTTATATAATATATTTTGAAACAAATGTTATATCATAATAACATAAATACCGATCCTAAAATTTCTTGACACAAAATAAAAAATACAAATATTTTATAAAAAGAAAAAAAAATAATCAAAAAATAAAATATTACAATAATTTATATAGATTTAATTTTCTTTTCAAATATTTTTATATAATTTTACAAATTTTTATTGCTTTTTTAAATAAATTTCATCAATATGTTTTTTTTTTAAATATCAAAGACATGTTTTTGATTTAATAAAAAAAAATTCAACACAATCACGCTGTATAATATAAAATTTGAAGAAATTTCTTTATGATTTTTAAATAAGAATCATTACCAACTAATATTCCTAATACGTTAAGATCCATGGATTTTCATAAAAATACAAGAATGGTGTAAATCTGATGCAAATTTCACAAATATGGTATAAAACGTTGGTATAAAATGGAATATGCCTGGAATAAATGCATATTATATTTTACATTCATTATTTATTATATTTGCTTTTCTTATTATCATCTTGGTTATTATATTGACACAAATGCAAATAAATACGACAAGCAAAAAACTAATTTTTTTAATACAAATATAAATAATTTCATTGAATGTTTACTATTGCGATATTTCGATATTTTTAGAGAGGAAAGTCAACTGATACATTTTTGACGAAATTAATACGACAGAAGAAATATCAACAGCAATTAAAAAAAGAATTATTACTTTTTCAAATAAAATTTTATTATATTTTTCGAAATATTATACATTTAATGAAAATTATTTTCTTCATAATTCTACAGATTATATATTTCTTTAATAAATAATTGATAATTCCAAAATCTATAAAAACTATCAAATGAAATTTTGCATCTTTCATTCGCTATTACAAAAAATTTAAATTGAAAAATTAAACCGAGCTTCACAATTCTAATTTTTTTTTTTTTTTTTTTTTTACAGAAAAACGCGACATACGTAAACGTGAATAATCTCAAGAAGTTAAGAAGTAGAAAGGAGAAAAAGCACAAGGGTAACAGTATTAGAGGCACGCGTAAAGGTAGGACGTGAAGCGAATGAAAATGATAAAATCACTTCGTTTTGTAATTTCGTGCGCGCTACGATGCAAGTTCTTACGTTAAAAATATTTCCTCGTAAATTCTCGCGCGCTAGTACCTAACACGCGAAGCAAATATCCTTTTCTCCCTGTTCTTTCACCCCTTTCCTTCCTTCCTTTTCCTCTTTCTTTATCTCGCGTTTCCTTTCATTTTCTCTTTTTCTATCTCTCTTTCCTTCTTCTTCTTTTTTTTTTTTTTTTTAGTAAAAGAACATGCAGTTCATCGACGTGCTTACGCTTGTGGTATAGCTTAAGGGAGTAAGTGTTGCAGTGACGTCGGTGCGTGTCGTAAATAGATTTGTTTCGGACACAAAGTTCAATGTAAATGAACTCTAAGCAAATTAAGACCGCGACAAACGAGTCTTTTGAACGCTCTCAATGGCATCCGAGAAAGAATGCATTACTTTGTAACGGGGACCAGTGTTTTTGGATGAGCTCGAGGGTAACGTAATCGGTGTCGACCCGATGACATTAATTCCGAGTTTCCTTCATTACGGAACACGTTATACACGAACTTTTAACCCATTAACCCTTTAGACTCAATCTGGTCTAACTTGGTAACTCTCCCCTGGGGTCAATCAGATTAATGATCGGTTATAAAAATTCTTTTTACCATGAAATTAATATTTGAACTCATCCTCGGATAATAATTAACGGTAATATGGTACAGATTCCAAATAGGAATTTTAATTTGATTTTTAGTCAGCAAAATTTCAATATATGATCGATACAATGTTTCCAATTAATATTTTTATTCAGTAATTATGATTATTATATCAGTAATCATATATCAATATAACACCGTTAAAATAATTTTCTTTAATCAGAAATATTAATCGATCAAATTAAAAATATTAATCAATCAGTGCATAATATCGTTAAATATTATAATTTGAAAAAAATAATGATGTTATAATTCAAAAATAAATGATAAATCTGGATAATTTAGAATAATTTACAAAGTTGGTGAAAAATCAAAATGTAATATAATTATTAAATCTAAATTGAAAGTTAAAAGATAATTGATAAATTAAGACTATATCAAATTATAATATATAATTTAATTTAAGAAGAAACGAAATATAACCTAATTTATATCTTTGTTGTTCTTATTATATTTGTATGATGAAGTACATGCATTAAATAATAGAAACATAAGGAAATAATGCCTGGATATTGCATACAAGTATGCAAACATGTTGGTAATATAACAAATTGTGTACTCGTAATTATAAGAGATTTGTAAATAAATAACAATATGAACGTATCTTAATTTTAATTGTTTGCAATGGATGCAAAAAAATTAAAATAAAAGATACGACAAAAAATGATTTATTTGATATTAAATATTTATTCAATTGCAAAATATTCGATATCTGAAATGTTTAATATCCGATATCATTACAAACATATTTAAATGTTTTTAAAGAAAAACTTAAATTTCAAAATTAAACTTGTCAAATTATTCGCCTGTATATTAATTATTAACATTTTTTTTTTTATTTTAGCACCTGTCAAGTGAAATAACAAAGCATTTTTCAGCCCTGATGTAAAAGCTATGACGTAAAAAATAAGAGTCAACAAAAATAAACTTATCAAGTTTCCCTTCTGCGGTCCTCGTATGTGAAGCATTACAAACATGTATAAAGTAACATAAAAATTGAAAGAGAGTATATGGAATTAAAAGAAACAGCATCGTGTAACGTTTATTGAAACGCACAAAAGACATAAATTTCCTCTATCACAGAATTGTAATCCTGTGTTTCAAGCCGCGAGTGTGAATACGAACAAAGGATATGAAAACAGAAACAAAAGATTGGATGCAAATTTAAACAAATAATTACTCGTTCTTGGATAAAAACGAGGAAGAAAAAAAATAAGCAACTTTCAAGACAAACATTCAAACTTTTCAAGATTCGTTCAATCACGCATGATAACAAATTAGTCGCGTTCATTATCCGATTTATATTATTATTATACGCGGTAATTCAAAAAGTGTGTCAGAATCCAAAAATATCGGATCCAATTCTCGAAAGAGTATCTCGTGATTCGCCATAATTTTATGACTGTTCCTTTAATTTTCTTATTCAATTCCTCGAAATTCTCGGAAATCTTGAGGTATAAGATACATTCGGGACACGAATCGATCTCGATTATAAGCGATTAATTAAATCAGTTTGATGTTTTTTTCTTCTACACATTCTTCCACGCGTTTATCTTTTTTTTTCTTTTTGAAGCACGGGTCTTGTAGACGCATATTCGCTTAATTAGAGAAAAAGAATAAAGAACATGGTTACATCTACGTGAGAGCATACAATTTACGGGGTCGTCGAAATCATGAGGCTGACGTTGCGCCAGTCGCGAATCGTACCAGAAAAGAATAATTACTCGTGCGTGTTACGTTGTTACGTGTAGTTCGCGAGCGGTAAACTTTTGATTATTTTTGCAAATGAGTCTCTGCAGGAACAGAAGAATGCTCGTAATAGCATGGTATACGGCAATAAAAAGAAACGAGCGGTCTCGTTGACCCACAACTGTCGTACGGGTTTATTTTATTCGCCCCGAGGAAATTCGGCGAGACGTCAAACTATCGAATAATGATATCCAAGATGATCGTGACTTGTCCAATCAAAACGACGAACGAGGTAAAAACGTCACAATCGTATCGCCAATAAAAGAAAAGAGGCAAGTGGATTGGAGGAAAGATTTTGGCTAGAATAAAGGATTAATTTCATTAGGATAAAATGATACCATATATATGAATAACCCATAGTATATAGATATAATAATCATAAAATCAAAGCTTGTACGTGAAAAAATAAGACGAGGAGAATCCCTATAAGAAGGTATAAGAATATCATAGCCAAATTAAAAGTTCGAGATTTGAAAATTCATAGAATTTTATTAGCAAAAGCAACGATGAATCACTTTTCTAATAAAAAATGTGTATATATTTTTCATCGATTCCTGATTGTATATATAAGTGAACGACCGAAGAAAAGATATTACACAAAAATTAAATTTTTTAACTGAAAATCCTGGTTTCAAAAAAACCGAGTTGAACGTGATCTCAATTTAAATCTTCTCGAGTTTTAAAATGAAAAGGTATAATTCTACAATGTTTCGCAAGTAGAATAAGCTCCTCTAGATTATGAATCCTTTACAATAGCATTGTAATGCGGATAATACATCACCTCGACAAGAGAAAATTAAAATATGCGATTCTAATTTCCAAGATTTAAACGATTGAAAAACAATAATACGTAATCTTCAATTTCCCTTATTTTCCCTTATCTTCGATTTCGATTAATAATAATTCATTACACGTATCTTTCTCCATTCCACAAGACACCCCGTCGATAACGATGATAATACTTGATTCATCAGGAACGTAAGATAAGCGAATTCTCTTCTTCGCCTCTCTATCAATCCTTACACCAGCACATCAAAACGATACAAGTTCTTATCGTGATTCATATACTCACCGATCACATAGCTGTACCCATCCAAGGTGAGAACACACTTGCGCGTGTTGGAAGAGCTCGGAATGCCGGGCACTAGTCTCCGAGAAATTCGCTTACCAGGGCTGCAAGGAGTACCGCCGGTACTTGCAGCACCTGGGTCCGAGTGGCACTTCTGCACGGGGTCTTTGCTTTGTCTAGACATCATCGTCCTCTTCCACTTGTATACTGCTTCTCCACCAGAAGCCGGAAGAAAGGAAAACCTACTTCCACACCATACCCGCGCCTACTTAGCCACGCGACAATTCAGTTCCCACTATCGTGGCCAACTTTTCATCTAGACAAGGTCCTGACAACGCGTGCTCGATACTCGTCATTGCCGTTGGATCACACACCCCTGTACACGCACATCCGTACATCCGGTTCCACATGCACTTTGTTCACTTCGAATCGCGGAACAGTTCGCCCGATTTTCCCTTGCTCGCTCGTTTCCAATCAAACTTTGATTCCTTTTATCTTCCCCTCGATCTCTTCTGCTTCTTCTTTAACGAATCGACAACATTTGCTTCGAAAAGCTTCTCTGGATTACTTTCAGGCGATGAAATATAGTGAGATACATTTCTTTCGCGAAATCTACTCGTACTTTTTAGTTCATCTGATGTTAGAACCAAGAAATAATACTTGTACTAGGCTCGTGTAATTCAACCTTGTTTTAATCGGTCATCTTTTTTTTCTATTATATTCGTGATTTAAAATTCGAGGATAGAAAAAGAGAATAGGATCAATTGACCGTGAATGATATGAGATTATGTTATAACTTATGTTATAGAGAAACAGGGAAAATTCCCTTTTGCAGAGCGATTGTTTGGTAGTAGCTTCCCTCTTGAACGTTTCTAGTGTAGCAAAGTAAAATAATTTGTTTAAATTGTTTAAGAAAACACGTTCAGGCACGTCTGTTGCATGTTTGTCTCTATTCCAGTTTGTATTATCGCGCTTCACGTATCACTTTCTTTGGTATCGAATGTTTTATTTCATCTTCGTTTTAATCGATCGTAAAACCACGAAATATCGTCCCCTTGTTTTTCGTCGAAAGATAAAACTTACACACAACTGAATCTTCCCAACTCAAGCGAAGTTTTGCAAGCGAAGTTTGTCCCGTTAAGCAGATATCGCAACTATTAAACTACTACGAGGTTTGATCAACTTGAACGACAATAGATTCGCCGCTTCCCGATAAACTTGTTTATCTTCTGGAATTGCTTTCAACCGTGCTGATTTCCAGCGAAGGATTAACACCATCGTTTTCCCTCCTTCGTGGAAATTTTCTCGACGTCGCGTGTCGCGCCTTGTTCCCAATTATGCGGAAATTCTTTTTACATGGGACCAAAAGCACGATAAAATTCACTATTTGCTCTTCCGTTGTTCAATTATTGTTGGTCGATTATTAATTTAATGTTTCTGAATGCAAAATATCTCCACTTTCTGCACTGTTCTAGAATCCCTTCCATTATAGAATTCAGGCAATCATTTGAATTCCTGGTTTCGTTAAATTTCAGACGCGATTCACCTATGCTTCACCCATAGATCAATTTTTTCTATCGAGAACGATTCAAGTTTGAAAAAAGTTCCAGAAGTCGTTGATCTCGAATTTATCGACCTGTGGATTCCACGACGTTTCCAACGCGCGAACAACGTGCTATATTCTCGTTACGAGGGCCATCGATGTCGGCTTTCATCGCATTACCAAGCAAATCTTCCGGTTCTGCTACAAATACACCGGCTTCGTTTCGACTAGGCAAACAAACCAAGTTCCCTTCTCACTCTGTTTTTCCTTCCTTTTCACACCTTCGTGAACTTTCCAAGCCCTATATAGGCTCAATAGGGTTTCCGCGAGAGCGAAAAAATTTATGCAGCGAACACTGACCTCCCTATTATTCCGGCTAACAATCCCCCAGCGAGTAAACGACCCGAGAGAATTCTTATACCCGGCCAACTCGATCCTGCAATTTGGAATCTTTCCTATCGCATACGTGCATCTTCCTTGAAAGTAGATCATTCGTCGAGAAATCTTCGGTATCTCTTAGCGACACGTGAAAAGTGATTTTATTCCGAAATTGGACAGATTCGAATAGAATTCAAGAGATCACGATCTACTTTACTCGATCGTCGTCCTGTCTATTCATCCTTCTAATCATCGGCATTAAGGGTCGCTCGTTAACCATAAATAGAATAGACATTAATCTACTAATAGCTCGTTTTGATCGACGTTCCCCGCGGAGACTCTTCGGGCTGATTGATCACTTCGAAAACGAGCGACGTATTAACACGTGCTCGTCGCAAAGATTTTTCCGGGTCAAAGCAAACGTGCAGTCGTGTATGCGATATATTCCCACCCCCTTTTCGTCTTTGGATGGATCTTCGTCCAGTGAATCGAGTGCACGAGAAATTTCGAGTCCGCTTGTAAAAGATATTATCTCGGCTGGAAAGTTGACAGAGTTTCTCCAATGGCAATTTAGCTGGAAATTCCAACCCCCGATTGGGAACTCAAGGGCCGATAGTTCAATTACCTCTTCGCCTTTTTCGCGCTGGTTTCACGGTACGGCACGTTGTACGTGCATGCACGGACACGGGAAATCGTGATGGGCGAGGGTGGAGGGTGTCCCACGATCGATTCACGTTACCATAACGTTAAATTCAGTTTGCCCGCTCGTGCACCGGCGCGCCGGCACTCTCGCGAAGCCGGCACGCGCACGGTGCGCACGTTTTCATGTGACGATCGATCTGCACGCGTTCCCTGATCATCGGGATCGAGGTGCGCTCATCAATCGTATTCACGTATAAACGGCTACGCTCGCACAGGTGTCATTTCACGAGCCAATTCCAACAATTACGAGAGTTTCATCGATCGCCAGATCGATTACATTTATTTACAATTCTATCCCAGATTAGCTCTTGGAGCAAACTATTTCCTCTTCCTTTTAAGCCGTGTCTTTTTTATCAATAACCGATCCAGGATTATCCTTTCCGCTATCCTGGCTCTGGAGGATAACGTGTTCAACGCTGCGGACTTATTATCCGCGCCTCTATTATACTCCAATAATCCGTATCGATCCTGCTTCCTTGATCTTTCGTGTCCCAACAACGTAACTATCCACAAGACGATCGATCCCTGTAGCAAATTCGGTAGCAGCGTGATCGAATCGAGGAGGACCGGCGAAAGAGGCGCGCACAGCGCGAGTGGAAGAACCTCGTGCTTGGTCAGACGTCACGCGGCGGTCTCATGCACGCGAGAGGGACCGGCCGGCGAACCCAAACGAAGGGGAAGATCGCGATGAAGCGAGCAAGAGAGACGGAGAGAAAGAGAGAGAGAGAGAAAGCGAATTGATACACGCGCGAAAAGAGACACGCGAACCACGCGAAAACGGAGACACGCGTGCGACCCGAGCCGCGGTACCGCTACAACTGAACCATTCCAAACTTCCACCTCTCGCCGAGCTCCCCCTCCTCACGCTCACCACGTCGTTCTGAACCCTCCTGTCGACCCGCTACGTCGCCCTCTCACTACGCTCTTCCTCTCTCGCTCTCGCTCTCCTTCCGTCGTCTATCATTCTTTCTCCCTCCCCTTCGTCGCTCCGACAATTTCCATCCTTTTCTATTTCGTTATTCTCGTTCCTCGTCGTTCTACGTCGAGGTACGTAGACACGGTTTGTGATCGGTTTCGTTTCTACCTTCCTTCGGTTTTCCTCCCTCCTTCGAAATCGCTTTGTTTTCCTCGTGAGTATTATTCGCCCTCAGGTAAACATCGAGATCTTCTCGCTGAGGGAAGTCCGTATGGATTTGGGATGGATAAGGGGATGTTTGGTTGGTACGTGGGAGATTGTTTCGGAGACGTGGATTAAGAATAGAAGCTTGAAGGTCTATAAGTGAATTTGGTGATTTCGATTAGACCGATTGTCGGTTTAACGAAGGAAAAAGTTGGATGGTTATTTTTGGAGTAGGATGATCATTTCATCCCTTTCTATTTTGAAAGTGGAGTGTTGACATCGGATAAATAAAATTGAGAAATGAGTTATATCGTGATATGTAGTTATTTATTGTTCAGTTTTGCGTAGGATGTAATAATGTTTGACGTGCTTACAATTTTTCTTTTTTTTTTTTTTTTTGGAATTTTATGATCTTTGCATTGATTTTTGCAAAACGTTATATTATATAAATATTAAAAGTAAGTAGTGTTTTTGGAAAGTAAAATGTTATGATATAAGTATTGGTTGAAGAAATATAAAAGAAAGCAATAGAAAAAACAGTGAAATGTATTAAACAAAAAACATTTTAAGAAATTAATATTTATCTATTTAAATATTTATTTTTGTATTTATGTTTTTCTATTATTATTTTGAAAATGAATATTGAATCAAATATTATAGTTTTGTAAAAAAAAAAACTTATTTCTTTTGATTTGTTTAAATATTTTTAACATGAAAATTTACTTTTTTTGATATTTCTTCCATTATTTAAACAGTTTGGCTTTCTATATTCTATGCTTCGATAATGTAAAATATTTTTCTCGTGATATATTCATATTTATCTTGAATATGGCATAGAAGTTAAAATTATCAATACATATTCACTGAATACTTATTCATCGCATATCGTGATATCTTCACGCATCACAAAATTTCAAAACACGTATAGAATATATACGTTCAATATAATTTTTATTTTATTTAGTTTATTCGACGTTCGATCCTCTCGTCGCGCTTATCCTTCTTAGAATCATTTTCACAATTGTATTTCTCGTTTGACCCTTTCACCTTTGTTCAATCCATCCTACGCTGACAGGTATCCACCTCTATCACTGTCGCAACCTTTCTGTCGTTCCAAGTACTACTACTAAAACGCCTTTGGAAATTTTTATTGAGAAATCAAGCGATGAGCAAGATCGTTGAAATAAATAATTTAATCGTATGAAGGCTTGGCAAGACAAGATAAAAAAAAATGATTTCGAAAGCGAATGAGTAACACGCTAACCGCATTAATTAATTAGAAGAGTTCATTCCTTTAATCATTTAACTATTTATTTTTTTTATTCCGTACGATTCTCCTGAGAATTATTTTCTATTTCATCTTTTATCTTTTTTTCTTTCATTATTGTATTTGTCTATTCGATATTTTATTTCGTTTGATAAAATTTTTATGATAATTTTATATTTTTTTAATGTTAATGATTAATTGGGTATTTAAGAGTTACAGAATCTTCGTGAAATATTGGAATTTATATTATTATAAAATGGTAAAAATGATGAACTCCTGTTTTAATTTTTGTAGTAGATACTTTACTGATTCATTTTAAATGATTTTTTTGAAATTTCAAGTTTATTTAATATTACTTAATATTACTTTAATAAAAAAGTAAAAAAGCGTTTGGCGTGAAATAGTTATTAATAGAACAAAGAAAGAAATTAAATAAATATAATAGAATTTCAAAAATAATGGATTTGGATTAGTCTTTCAGCTTCATTGAAATATCTATTTGGCTATCACAGATTATTATTTTATTTTTTTTATTTTTTTATAAACTTGACAATGCTTTCAAAAGCGACTAAAAAAATCTATCATTTAATCTTTCCTTCTTTTTTATCCCCTTTCCCATTTCATATTAATACCTTTTAAAATCACTTCCACCCCAATCATTGACACCTGTCGTGTTTCGTTTAATCGAAACTAGCAATTGTTTAATTGTCCTCGTAAGACCGTGTTTTCAACGTTTTGAACTTTGGAGAGATAAATTGAATTTCTGTAGTAAATCCTATGACTATCAATAAGCTCCACGAGCTATTCGTAAAACGTTCGATCGTTCCATATGAATCAGTTTTTGCGATAATAAAATTTCTTCCCGTTGACCATGATGGTTTTCCACCCTCCAGTTACGTTCCAACATCTTTTTCCTTCCGATTCTCTCGGTTTATGCAAATTGAACCGCCGCAAACGAGTCGAGCGAATAATGAACGTTTCAGAATATATTTCAAATAAGTGGACAAACTCATCGCGAATCAGAAATTGAATATATTCTATCGTGACATGAAACTCTCGAGGACTATAATTCTTTTAACGCTTCACCTTTGATATAAATGGCGAAGTGTTATTTGCATATATGGCACGAGTGAATATTTTTACTCGAAAAATATTGATTTCAAGATAGTTTTCTCTCCCTCGAGCCCCATTAATATTATTGCTTTTCATCTTTTGAATAAAAAAAAAATATTTTCTCAAATTTCTATGAACGCTCGTCCAACTTTACTTCGATTCCACGACTTGGATGGGAAACATTTTTCATGCTGATAACTTTATTGCGAGGGATTGGTGATGCGCTGGGAGCAGATAAAAGGTTTGAGTTAGAGGCGATAATTTTTTCGACAGATAATGTCTTTAATTTAATTCCTTTGTTACAGATATTGATATCACCGTTAATGTACTCTAATACACACAGAAGAACTTAATCCTTTATCTCTCGTCGCATGACACGATCTATCTCTATCCATCCGAGCACTCGTTTAAAGGCAAAATATGTTTTACACTCCACGTGTCGCGTTCCTAGTCTTACACCGATAAATTTACGCTTCGAGGGATTTAATTTAGGTCAGACATAAATCGACTTGGGGTATACACGTAATTACCAATATAGCGAGTTCGAGAGTCGACCTCCTGAAATCTTACGCCGATCCAAATATCTCAGACGGGCGGATTTCGTAAATCCTATCCATATTACTGGGACATTTGAAACGTTTCAAATTCAAACACACTACGCGAATACATCTGTTTTACGATAGCGTTACGCGTGTAGAAATCTCAACCCCACAGGGGAAATGTATGGAGCCTCAACGAACCGTTTCAACCCCTCTTCGACACCAACCCTTGTCTCGTCACGCCTCACCACAGACCTTATCGTGGATATCACCCTCACCCTTTCCTTCCCTGTTCTTCACTCTTTATATAAATGTCTTTCTCCACGGTCCATCTCTCTCTTCATTTCGCAAGATCTTGAGGATACACCTTGAAACGTGAAACTCTGGCCTCAAATATCCATAAAGCTTACTTCAAAGGTAATAAATTAACCGGCGAAGATTCTCCTTCTATCCGTGAAATAGAGGCGTGCTTCCAGTGGTTTCCTTCGGGTAATGGTCGATTCGGTTGCGAATGTATTTATGTGACTGGAAAGAGAAAGTACTTTGGGAAAGATGTGAAAGGTGCGTAAAGATAGAAGCAATTTTCCACGTGAAAAATTCGTCGAATCGCGAGGCGACATTGATATATTGTCGATCGCGGTGGGAATTTAAGAAATATCGAACAGGGAATTTTTTGTTATTTCTATCGTTTGAAAATATTCATGAATTCGATTTCGATTGTAAGCATAATGAAACATTTGGTTGGATTATTATTGATTCAAAAGATATTTTATCCTGCTCATTTTAATCGAAATATGTTTTTTTTTCAATTTTTTTTATTAATTATATTAAATCTCCACGTGCTATCTTTAATTTTTCATGTTATAATTATGAGTGTAAAAACTTTAAAGTGTAAAAACTTTAAATGCTATGAAAATGTAAATCAGAGATAGCATTGTATGAATTCTCTTGATAAAAATATAAATATAAATGGATATAAACAAAATGATAACATACTTCAAAAATATAAATGTACATTTCATACTTAACTAGTTTTTATAATTTCATATTTAACTAAGTTAAATACAAATTATAAATATAAAAATATAAAGATAATGTAATTGTAGGTGATAGATTGTAGATGATAGATTAAATTTCTATGGCATTCAAGATGCATATTTCTGCAAATTAAAAGAAATTTCGTTCATCATAATCTAATCAATTCTGTAGAAAATTCCTTATTCAAATAGTTGCGAGGATTATTTTAAATTCATCGCATGCATCTCTGACATTCTATTCACCTCTATATAGTATTCTTCCATTAGAATAAAATCGTACACTTATGGTTTTAATTCATAACTACTTCTTATCTCGCTTCATGAATAATTTTCTTCGTTAGCTATTAAACATCAAGGATAGAAGAGAGTTAACTTGTTAAAAAGCATCTTTGTAAATTCATATCAAAGTTTAATAAACATCAATCATAATCTTATGCAAATATCTGCAAAGACTATCTTGCACATTGAAAACCTTGATAAATCAATGTATTTGTACATATTTACTTCAAATGTTTATTTCTTATTTCTTTCTCTATCTCATTATATAATTCTTGGCATCAATTCTTTCTACATTTTCAGCACATGTTCAATTCAAATCTATTATGACATTTTAAATATTACCTACATGTGCATATGTATATATTTTAAATTTTAAAGAAGATTTCCATTTTATGTTTAATTCTATTCATAACTTTTCTTTTTTTTTATCTTAAATATGAATAGAAGAAACATACTTCAAATTATTCTTAAACATCATGCGTATTTAATTCGTTTTCATCTTCATTATAATAATGTTCTTAAATTAACATTTGTTTCTTATACGAGTATATGAATAATCATTACAATTGCACAACGAAGCTATATAATTTTCTACATATTTAAATAATGAAATTCTTTTATTATTTAAAGAACTTCTTTTTTTCTTCTTCTTTTTTTTTTTTTTTTTTTTTTTATATATTATTTTTATTTTACATTATCATTTGAGATGGATTAAATTATAACAAAATAATAATAATATTATAATTGATTATTATAATTGATAATATGAATAATATATATTTTTTAGAATAATAGTCGTTAAAAAAGAATTTGTATAAACTATTAATGCAATAGAAGAAATTAAATTAAAAATAAAATAATTCCTCTTTTATTTATTTTTCTTAAAATAATATATTTAATGGAAAATGTTGAAACAATTGATGAAATATAATACCAGTTAAGGATTTCGCTAACTTAGTATTACTTACACAATTGAGGATTACGTAATATTAATTAAACGCAGCTATAGTAATTATATTCCGTAAAATGTTATAATAAATATGAATATTAATATTAATGAATATTTCAAATTATTAAAGAATATTGACTTTTTAGAATGCCAATTAATTATTTGTTTTAATTATAAATATAAAATTTGAATATTGTAATAATAATATGATAATTAATAATTGATCGTTAATAATCAAATTCATATAAAATTATACATTATAAATAATAATAATATTATATAATTAATAATAATTATATAATATATATAATATAATATATAATATATAATATAATATATAATAATTATATATAATTATATAATATATATATAATAATTATATAAAATATATAATATTAATATTAATAATATTAATAATAATGTAATAATACTAGAAATATATATATAAAAGAAAAGAAAATTAGTCGTATAAATTCAACTTTCGACTTGAACTCGAAGTTACCCGAAGATATCCGAAGATACCCGAAGATACCCGAAGTTCAGCGAAGTTATCCGAAAACAGCCGAAGGGTGCCGAAGTTACAAATTGGCGCCAAGAAGTTCATAATTTTACGAACCCCGAAAGTGAAGCAGTCACGTTACTCATTTACATTAAATTTATTAGTTTGTGGAATATATTTATACAAGTATCGATACGTGGTGTGAAAATAAGTGTTAACGGAATAATTTATTGCTAAATGTGTAATATAAAAATATAATAGAAATATGATATCGTATTAGTGAATGTGCGTCGTAATAGAGTACATCCTTTTTCGTCCTTAAAAGATCCTATTTTCTTTCTTCAACTTCAAACTGTGAGTATTTTATTGTATTTTTTTTAAATATAACAATATTTATTAATTATTTGATGAAAAATGATCATAATTAATGCAATTATATATATATTAAATGAGGTTAAAATATATTGCGCAGTAACGAAAATGAATTTATTTGCTCCGAATACTTCGTTTATTTTCCTTATTGCAATATTATTTTAGACCTTGTAACGTTTTTTTGGGAAATATAATGTTTAAATTTCTTTATCAATCGTTTATGTATCGAAACGAATAATACATTAGTGAATATATAGAGAAGCGAACAGATCATTAATCACAGTGACATTTATTATAATAATTAATCCATCAAGACTACAATTAGGTAGATATAGAAATTTAAGAGTAAGAATTGTAGTATAAATTTATATTAATGCATATTATTTCATGTTTTATTGGATAAATTATTATAGTAAACAAATTACATATAAAATATAGGTAAAAATATTTCTTTGAAATTTACTAGATTATTATTTTATATTATACATACATATAATAATTAGTAATAATTAATTTACAAAAAGAATTAAATATTAAGTAGCTTAGGTAAATTAAATTAGAAATCCAAATATTAGAATTCCAAATATGTATTAATAATAACATTCCTTATTCATATTAGATATATAATAATTTAGTTAGATAGCTTTATATCAAAACAAATATAGTATAACATATCTATAAATATGTGCTAATTAAGACTAAAAGCAAAAAGAATAGTTTACAAAAAGAATTAAATATTAAGTAACTTAGATAAATTAAATTAGAAATCAAAATAACATAAATTATAATAACATTATTTATTCGTATTAGATATTTATTAATTTACATAAATAGCTTTATATCAAACCAGTATAGTATAATATATTTATAAATATATGCTAATTAGTACTAAAACGTTTAAAAAAAGAATTAAATATTAAGTAGCTTAGATAAATTAAATTAGAAATCAAAATATATATAATAATATAAATATATATATTAATATATATATTAATAATAATATTATTTATTCATATTAGATATTTAATAATTTACATAAATAGCTTTATATCAAACCAGTAGGGTATAATATATTTATAAATATATGCTAATTAGGAATAAAACATTTACAAAAAGAATTAAATATTAAATAGCTTAGATAAATTAAATTAGAAATCAAAAAATATATATATATTAATAATAATATTATTCATTCATATTAGATATTTAATAATTTACATAAATAGCTTTATATCAAACCAGTAGGGTATAATATATTTATAAATATATGCTAATTAGGAATAAAACATTTACAAAAAGAATTAAATATTAAATAGCTTAGATAAATTAAATTAGAAATCAAAATATATAGATATATATTAATAATAATATTATTTATTCATATTAAATATTTAATAATTTACATAAATAGCTTTATATCAAACCAGTAGGGTATAATATATTTATAAATATATGCTAATTAGGACTAAAACGTTTACAAAAAGAATTAAATATTAAATAGCTTAGATAAATTAAATAAGAAATCAAAATATATGTATATATTAATAATAATATTATTTATTCATATTAGATGTTTTATAATTTACATAGATAGCTTTATTTCAAACTAATATAGTATTATATCTATAAATATGTAATTAGGATCTAATTAAGACTAAAAGTAAAAAGAATTGTTTACAAAAAGAATTAAATATTAAGTAGCTTAGATAAATTAAATTAGAAATCAAAATAACATAAATCATAATAACATTATTTATTCATATTAGATATTTAATAATTTACATAAATAGCTTTATATCAAACCAGTATAGTATAATACATTTATAAATATATGCTAATTATGACTAAAACATTTACAAAAAGAACTAAGTATTAAATAACTAAGATAAATTAAATTAGAAATCAAAATTAATAACATTCCTTATTCATATTAGATATTTAATAATTTATATAGATAGTTTTATATCAAATCAATATATAAATGGTATAATATATCTATAAATGTATTAGGATTATTAATAAATAGTAGGAATTATAAAAAGCTAAATTTGTTTCTTTTCAAAATATTTTCTCTTTTTTTTATTTTACCTTTCTTGGATAAAAAATACATTATTCTGTATAAGAATATTAAATCAGTAGGATATTTATACATTATATATATTTATGCTGTGGATATTTATGCATTTATATAAAGTTAAAATAAAATAAATTAATGTATAAAAACCTACAAAATGCAAAAAGACATGAAATCACAAAGTATAGTATCACAAAGTATAGTACTCATTATGATATTTAAAAAATAAATCAAATTTCTAAGCTATTTTTTTAATGATATTCAAATTTAATTTTGTATAAAAGTCCACAATTTTACATAAAAGTCCACAGTCAGATATCCAGATTATATTTCAGAAACAATATTACAACAAAGTATAGTACTCATTATGATATTCAAGAAATAAATCAAATTTCTAAGCTACATTTTTTTAATCATGTACAATTGATTTTGTATAAATATCCAATAGTTAGATATTCAGATTATATTTCACAAACAATATTGAACAATATTTTATATATTTTTCATATATTTTATCGTTCAATAATTGTTCCAAATTACACAGAAATTTCATAAACATCTTAAAATTTACTATTTAATATTACAATCTTAGTATTTAGTATTTTATTTAAAATTAAATTAAATATTTATTCAATTTTCTGACTAATGAAAAATGGCATTTAATTCAAACGAAATAAAATCGAAGTAGACTTAATGGAAACGAATGATGGCTGAATCACAAATGAAAAAAACATTATTTTGTATCGTGGACAAACGAAATGCCGTTGTTATTATCCCATCGGGGATAAGAAACGAGTCCTCGTTTCCTTAATTGCCGAGTCGAGGGTTCCGGAGATGAAGTCCCGAGATCCTTGATAACGAAGCTGAGAACGCGTGAAAAGGCACTGAAACTCCTAGAAATATCGAGCGAAATTATCTTCGGGGTTAGGTTTAACGGGTGAGAAAAGCTGGCTTTCTGGAATAATTTAAAAACGCAGTTAAATATTCGCGCGTGAAATTCATCCTGATGGATATATCGTAAAATAAACTACGTGTAAATCGTCAAGCTAAATCTGGCTAAAAATCAACTGGAAGATCTAGATGCGATATAATTTAATCGATTTCTGAGAATTATAGTGAATATTGAAACACTTTAGTCGAGTTATTTTTATGTAGCAGTTTGAAATCATTTAGAAATAGTAAACATTTTTTGGAGGAAATATTTAATTTTTTTGAAATATTTTTTCGAATGTTGAAATTGCATAGATATATTCATCTTATTATGTGATTTATTTGTTTATTTGGTGTTTACTTTTCACAATATTTATATTTATTTTATTTTTCGAAACGTTTAAAAAAAATTTAAATTTTTTGTATAATTTTTCATATAAATTCATTTCTTTTCGACTTGTACTATCAATTCAGTAACACCCTATATTTTATAGACTCTGATATCGTAAATCATACCAAGAGAGATATTAAAAATATGTATAGTATTATCAATATAAAATATCATAAAGTATATATTGAATTTTTTCATCATTCTATTAGCATATATTTATTAAAAATCTTTCGTATTCAGAATTTTTTTTAATTAATTTTACAAACAGAATAAAAACTTGAAAATATTTTAATATTTCTCGATTTCCAAGATTCAACTTCTCGCTTTATTCCCAACATAATTTCAACTTCTTCTAGCTTCTTTTTAAATCTTATTACTTCTCGACTTCTCTTATTTCATTCCAAACACGTTTCTATAGATTCGTCAAGCGTGACAAAACAGTTTCATCGATTTTTTTCCATATGTTAATCTTCGCGTGCAATCACAAAGATCATTTCGTAAATCAAGATCATAGACGGGGAATCCTCGAGGTTGGAAACGTTGAATGATCGTAATCCATGGCACCGCGATGTTCACGTAATGACGACGTCAGTAAAAGATACCATCCAGAATAATGCATCGTTCCTCCATTTATCATGGATCGCGGTTAATGGAAAATATTGCGGTCACTATGTACCCATCAATTAATACCTGTATACTCGTTAAACAGACGGAAGTGAAACTACGCGGATAAAATTTGCCATTATATGAAACCTGTTTGCGTCTATAAATTCGTTCTTCATTCTTTTTTTTTTTTCTTTTTTTTTTTTCTTTTTTAGAAGGATTAAATGTCACGTTTTATGGCCGAGTCTTTAAATTGAATTTTCCTTTCTTCTTTATTTGTTCTTAAGAAATGAAAAGGAAAATAAAAGACAGGATTCTATAATTAATTATAGAAGCATTGAATATAAATACTCGATGATGATATTGGTAATTTATGGTAATCGAGTCAGACAGATTAGTGATAAATTACTGATAAATTTGAAGGATATATAATGGTTTTTTATTTCATCATTTTAATTAATCGTGATTGTTCATTATTTCTAATGTTTTAATTTATTTATATATTTATAATTGAGTTTGATCAACAAGAATTTTTTTTCAACATTTTTAATCTGTGAGAAAATAAATCTTCAAGGATTAAAATAATTAATAGAAATAATTATATATTATATTTATTCTATATATTATATATATTATATTTATATATATTATACTTATTCTATATATTGTATATAGAATAAATAGATAAAACAATAGAATCTTTCTTAACCATTTTTATTTTCACGTAAAATTGAAAAATTTTACATTATCTCTTCAAAATTTATCTCGATGGTATTCATAAATCTTCGTAGCTTTGTATAAATAAATTGAAATCGATATAATACACGAAAAAACTTCTTTTACTTGCAAATTACTTATAAAGCAGTTTATCTTCCTATCTATTTCAAATCTACTATCCACTATTACGAAACTTTAAGAGAATTCGATGTCTCGAAACTGTTGCTTCGACATTATTCTTATTGCACCCTCGAAATATATACAGCT